AATTATTTTCTATTAAAGATGTTATTTAAAAAAGAATACTTTCAAAAAAAGAGCACGTCTATAAATTTAACTTGAGTAAATTCATTATGATATTAAGAAAGATATAAATTTAAATAAAACTTGACTAATTGCATAAATCCTTAAGATTTTAATCCTATTAAAAGTATAACTTCTTTGACATAGTAATCTTTGCTTTCTTCATATTTGTAGTAGCAAGAATTTTTGGATTCACTTGTAAGATTAATCAACTTATTTTTTTGAATTACACAACTTCTTAGCATAGACATTAGACTTTATTGTTGTTTTCTTCCATAGGCCTAAGAATAATATTTCTATAGTTGACATTGCTAATACATAAAAGGTTTTTCTAAAGATATTAAAATGCTTATAAAGATTTGTAATAGTTACAAATATATCATTACTTCTATCAAGATTAGTATCCATAATATATTTTATTTCTATTTTATGATAGATAATTTTAATTAATCTATAGGTCAAATTAGTAGAAAATAATTTGCAATCCTTCATATTAGTCAAAAAAATTAACAAAGAAAGATAGGCCACTTTTTTTAAGAAAATAATTAATATTAGAAAATAAAAATATTAATTTAAAGGTAGGTAGTTTATACCTTTTAAACACAAATATAAAAAATAAAATAATCTACTCACTTCTAAAAAAAATAAGTATAATTGATGAAGACTCTTATCAAATTATTAAAGACATGAAACATAAGAAAATTATAAAAATAATAATAGATTCTTATATTATCAAAAGAAAAAAAGTAAAAAAATCAAAAGATAGGTATAGAATGAAAATTAGAATGGCTATTGCCAAATAGAAAAAGACTAAGAAATCTTAAATTAAGATTGAATATAAGAAAGGTATTAATAAAATTGAAGAAGACATCACTCTTGCCTCTATATATACTCTTTATTAATAAACTATATAACAATGTCTTATAGACTATATAATACATTGTTTTAATATATTGTTGTGTAATAAAAAAATTACTTAATAAAGTAATATATATATATATATATCTATATATATATATATATATATATATATATATATATATATCTATATATATATATATATATCTATACATATATTTATATTTATATATATATATATCTATATATATATTTACATTTATATATATATATCTATATATATATTTATATTTATATATATATATATATATATCTATATATATATTATATATAAGGGTTTAATTTAACATATATTAAAAAAATATTTTAGAAACATAAGTAAAAATTAATGAGGTAATAAATAAAATTTAGTGTTAATATTATATTTTGATAAAAAAAGACTTTTAATTGATTTGTAAAATCGAAAATAAGACAAAAAAAAAAAGTAGACTTATAAAATAATATTATATGAATCTTTAGATAAAATTAAAGAATATCTTTTAGCTTACATTACCTAAAAAAATTATAAATTAATATTTAAAAAGGATTGGTTGTAAATTAGGGTTGAAACTAGATCTTATGTTATAGACATATATATTTACTTAGATTTAAATAAGTTAGACAAATATAAGTAGAAGTAAGTGGATTTGATAATATCTTATGGAAAAGCTTCTTAAAGACTTTGTAGATGCAAATTTAACTATATACATATCTATAGGTGATCGGTAGGCTTAAAACTTGGCAAAGAAGTTGGCTATGTGTTGTATATATTGATCACTTGGACAGAAGTTTGTCATGTGGCACATATTTGAAACTTGTCTTGCAAATTGGACATGGGTTAGAGGTCCTATAAAACATGGCTACATACCTTCTAGTAAATCAAACTTAAAGTAAAACCTTATAAATCCTAATTAAAATCTAAATAAATACCATAGCAAATTTTAAATCACAATAATTATTATATTAATTATTTATTTAATTCAAATTTCTCATACATCTCAAGATTTTAGTTAAAATCAAGCACACAAAGTTTTAAGAGAATCTAATTTATAAATAGATAGAAATGACTCAATTTCCAAGACTCTTATTTATTTAAATATCATTTTTTTAATCTAACAGTTTGGTTGAGCTTAAATTTACAACCTATATTTAACACAACTATACTTACAAACTTACATAATTTCATCCATAGATCTACTACAAAGTTACAAAATATACTAAAATTTGATTTTTTTTTTCCATTGAATACAAAATAGAGTTATCTACAACAATTCAAAATTTGAAAAACTCTCGCAAAGTCAATATGTCTTCAAATCCTTGAAAACTAATGTCTTTAAAAACCTTATCAAGATTTCTTTTAAAACCCACATTTCAATTAATAAAACAAAGTTGCATTTGTCATAGATGTACAATTGTGCCTTAAGATCTAATTGTGATCTTGGTTCATAACCAATCTTTTATGGATATCAATCTAAGATTTATTTAAGTAATTTTTTCTGATTTCTATTCTTTAATTCTAATTAAATTTTCTTATAATAATATTTTTATTAATCTATCTTATTTCACCTTGTTTATGGTCAAATCAAATAAGTAGAAGTCTTTTTTACAAAATTGTAGCATTAACACTTATTAGTTTTATTACCTCTTTAATTATTATCTATATTTCTAAAATAATTTTCTAATATATTTTAAAATAAGCTCTTCTATAGTATAATATCTTCTTTTCTCTTTTACTCATTAGTTGTATTATAACACAACAACGATAAATAATTTTTTTTTTTATCGAATAAAGAATAAAATTGGAGATTAAACTTGATTGGATTTTTTTGAGCATTAGTTTTAAAAGATTTGAATAGATAATGACTTTATGAAAACCTTAAAAATTTAGAATTTTTTGAGTAATTCTATTTTTTGTCAAATAAATATATATATATATATATATATATATATATATATATTTATATATATATTAGTAAATTATGTAAGTTTTATAGTGGTCCTAAAAATGAAAATTTGTGAATTTTTAAAAGTAGTTTTGATAAATGTTTGTTATAAAATATAGGTTAATTAAATTGATGAATAAAAATTAATTAAAATTTAAATGAATTAAGATCTTAAAAATCATAAGATCTTGAATACAATAATGTGTTTAATTTGTAAGATAAATATCTAATTTATAAGTCATGATTTTGACTTGTACACTATATGGCCAATTTGTAATACAAGTAATTAAATACACAATACGTGGCCAACTTGGTGACCAAGTTGTCAATCTATCAATTACTTGTAAATATGTATAAAGTCTAAAAAGCTTCTAATAAGCTTTTCAATAATATATTAACAATTTAACTTACTTTTAGGTGCCTCTAGGTGCCGCTATCTAGGTATATTTATCTAAATAAATGTACTAATCAATGTAACTTTCTATTATAATAATAGATTCAAAAAAATTTATATATATAATATTTTATATAAATAAAAAATTATTAATTATATTTATGAATATGATTCAAAGAATATACCTTAAAGAGAGTTCTAAGAAATAATGTGAAACAATCAAATTCTAGCAATTGAATGAATGACATTTTTAAGGTAGAGAGAATTAATTCTAGAAGGGCATTAAAAGATACCACCTAAAACATTGTCCTAATCAACACAATTCCACCTTATAAACTCAAAAAAAAAAAAAATCCATCTTATTTAGCTATTTTCTTAATAAATTACCCGTAACAGTTTGCCATTAATCTTCAATTCCTCCAACAATTTCCTTTCCACCTATTCTCTAAAAACCTAACTCTGCCTAATGTAGAAATTGCACCTGTCATGCAATAGCTATGATTTGTGGGTACACCACTATTTGCAATGCTCAACTTTATTTCAATTCATTAGATGGTGGAAGGTTTTGTTGTATCAGCAAACACGAGAGCAAAGTCACCGTTCGAGTATTAAGATCTTGCCTTGGAAGATCAATCCATGTTAGCGTGGAATGGTAATGACTGAAAGGAACCTTGAGCTTCGGCACGTGTGTTTCGTGCACCGTCACCGTTACTACTCCGACTATGCCAAGTATTCGGTATTTGCATGGTCCACACCCAAATGTACAGTTTTGGATAAGGTGGGTTTCCAGCGACGCTGAAACGGGCTTTGTTCGAATGCTTGGGGTCAGTACTCTCCACTATCCCATGTTCTGAAAAGTATTGGTAACACAGATCGGAGCTTGGCTGAACACGTGAAATCCATGCCTGGAAGTTTATTCTGTCACCATTAAAAGGATATTCAAGAAATTCAAACGTAAAGTTACGACTAGTCCAGAGGGTAAGAATTCTCCTCACCTGGTGGTAGAATCTTATTTAGGCTTTCGTTGAATGAGAGACTGCTTATGTCTATAGTTGCATGACAGCCAATGCTTATGTCTATAGTCGAATGATGCAAGTTGCAGAGCTACAAATCCTTCACCACGGTTCCATTACATTTGGCATCACGCATGGCTTAGGTGCTGCTTTTGACGTGGCTATTGTGGGCATTCTAAACCACATTGGACCAGCTCAACTTTCAGGACAACCGACATTCAAATCCAGTGACAGGTGGAGAAGCGTGAAAAACGCCGGTATGGCACCAGTCCAACTGAGTCGACTCAATATTCAGCATGCTGCATAAACGTAATTTCTCATCACTGGTAATGGTGTCACAATGGATGAATCATTGGCACTTCTTGACTTCTCTTCTAGAAAATGGAACTTGCAGTGCCATACACGAAGTATTGTCTCTAAACAAGAATTCAGTGGATACTAATTTAGATTTTGTACTGAACCGTAGATGTTTTCGGGTGATGATGTTTAATCGACAATGGATTGGATGGACTAAAGATCGAAGCAACAGTCAAATATTAATCTCCTATATTTCTCATTACTTAGTCATCCTTCTCATTACAAGCATACAACATATGTGCAAATCTATGCCAATGAGTCTCCTTTAACAAATACCTCAACTTTTACTATCTTCTGCCAGGGACGAAAACCCACTGAATCCAAAAGTGAAGTGCAAACGATGTCTTCGCAAATTTGTTCTTTGCAAGTTCATATAACAAAAAAAAGTTAGAGTTCAATGGAACCCTGACCAGACTACATAGACCGGAAGTCCTGCGACCAAACTTACCATTCATCAATTGCAATTGTAAAGTCATGAAGCTTCATGAGCTCGTGCTGTAAGTGAGGTTCAGTCTACTGCTAGGGAACAATACCCCGCAAGGTTTTTCGATCAAGTCTAGCAGTTGCGAAGCGTTACAGCAATGGCCGTGTCTGGAGGTCGCACCTTAATACCGATTACGGCGTTGATCGCCTCGGTGCTGTGTGCTGTGTTGCTCCTGCAGCAGGTAGAATCAGCTTACCAGCGGCCGAAGGAGGTGCAGACCGAAAGACCAGTGATCGGAATCGTGACCATTCCGGAGGCTGGTTGCTTGCATTTCGGCGACCAGGTGGTCGTCAGTTCGAACGCGCGCTGGTTGCAAGCTGGTGGCACCCGTGTGGTGCCGATCTTCTATGATTCCACTCCCGAGGAGCTCGACTACATACTCAACCGCGTGAACGGGGTGTTCTGGTCCGGCGGCCCAGTCTTCTTCAACCCACACACCGAATCACACTCCGGCTCCCTGTATTTGTAAACTCCGTTCCTGATATCATGTGATGAACCAGATCCATTACTATGTACTGAATAAGTCTAATGGCATTGAGGTTGTGAGTGCAGGCGCACCACGGAGTACATCTTGAAGCATGTGATGAGAGAGAATAGGAGAGGAAATTACTTTCCGCTATGGGGGACGTGTCTGGGATTCGAGCGCATGGTGCAGCTGGTAGCAGAGGATGCTGAGGCGTCCATTGTAAAGCCAGTCGACGCTGAGAATTATGCCATCAACTTAGGATTCACGGATGTGGCTTTTGAGAGTCGGTTGTTCCGGAGCATGAACGCGGAGCTTTTCAAGGAGGTGAGCTATGCTTCCTCCTCTGGATGTAATTTGTAAATTCTATGTGGGTATCCCATTCGCCTGCAAGTAATATCTATGCTTGTTTACTGATGGATTTGTACAGTACCTTGACAGGGTTACAAACCAGACCGTGATCATTCCAATTGTTCTTTATCATTCTATTTTTAGAGTTTAGCTCGTCGCAAATTTATTCACTACGTTTAGGGAGGTTTTGAGGAGATTGAGAGCCACCATGACATAAAGCGGTGCAAATTTAGCTAAAACTCTACCCGTACATTACAGTTTCCGAACGAGCTCATTAATTCTCCTTGATTGACACAAAACTGGACAATTCCAAATAGAGTTACAGTGCCTTGAAGTAGTAAGTAGAACAAACCCACTGAACAATCCTGATCAAGCCATGCCTACCTCAATCCTCCAAGTGTTTTTCCACACACAGACTGTTCATGCAATTTTCTGTATGTGATTGCGCGTGGGTACAAATAGGGGTTAACCTGAGAACATCAGAGATACAAATACAGAATTTGGGATGGTAGTGATGCAGTAATAGAGTCTTGTTTTTTTGTGTTTGTGTTTGTTTTTTTTTTTTTTTTTTTTTTTTTTTAGTTGAGCTAGCTTTCAAATGATCTGATCGAGTGCTGATTAATGTGCAGGTGGCGTCGCCAGCGACGAGGTTAGCATTTAACAACCACGGCTTAGGCATTCACCCAGACTACTTCCACAACATCACCAATCTTAGTCGACACTTTTCAGTGTTGTCGGTAGATCTGGACCGCCACGGCAAGCCCTTCGTGTCCACAGTAGAGGGCAAGAGATACCCCTTGTATGGTTCACAGTGGCACCCCGAGAAGCCCCCCTGGGAATGGAGCCCTGACTGGGTTCTTTCCCACACGAACATGGCCATCCAACTTTCAAATTACTTCGGTCGCTTCTTTGTTGAGGAATGCAGATACAACAAGAACAAGTTCGAGAGCCCCGAACTCGAGGATAAGCTTTTGTTGCATAACTGGAATACGATTCCCGCTTCTGCCATCCTCAGCATTGATCCCACCGTCTTTATACCTTTCATGGAATACTATTGCATTGACCGGAGCAAGGTGCCGAGCTATGACTTCATCACTAAGAGATCGAAGCAGGTGTCATCGGCGTAAGTGTTTTGTTAAAACGACAACTTAGAAGATGGTTCTACATAAACTTTGTTAAAACTTGGGCAGAGAGTGCTGTAAAATGTTACCAAAATTTGGAAGGGATGTGATGGAACTCATAACAGCATGCGCTGAAGGATAGTAGACTGGGCATCATATGTAAGTATTGCATAGAATAACAACTATGACATTCTTGGTAATAAATCGTGCACAATACCGTGTTCACTAAGTTTTGCCCCATCAAAGTAATTCGGCTGCATGTGATACATGAGATTGTATGTGCGCATTGCCGATAAGTGTAAAACAAGATGAATTGCAGCGAATCATCAAAGTGTAAGCGAGCTCTCAAATGTGTATCACTTCCACAGCAAAGTTTATGATCAAGAAACGCATCTTATGCTTGGGCAGTGAACAAATAAACGAACTGTTTCACTGTGCAAAGAAGATGGAAGTATGGAAATTAAGTATTTTCTGGAAGACGAGTAGGTTATTAGATAAATAACCATACCTTCCCATAACCACTAATAGTTGCAACTTGCAGAAATAGTTTTCTCTGCGACTATATCTCTTTCCTTCAAAGGTAGGAAAGAGATATAGTCGCAGAGGAAACTATACAAAGCTATACCCCCGATGGTATACAACATCAACCCCAAACAGTACTTTGCCCTGAGTTTGAAGCCAATCTTCGAAGTGGGCCTTGAAAATTGCACTAAAGCAACAATCTCGAATAGTCCTCTTGTCCTTTGAATATAAAACTAGCTGCAAGCTTTGTACATGTAACGCCCGAAATTCCTTCAAAAGAAAAAAAAAAAAAATTCATATGTAACGTTCACTGTTCGGCTCAACTGGTACAGTTTCAATGATCCCCTACTTTTCGATGAATTATGTCTCCCATATTCGTAACTGGGCATCTTTGTTCAATTGGGACCTTCATGCTCGACATCAGCCAACAATCTGGCTAGGCAATGTAGCCGTTCCTGCAACAACGGAGCCGACCCCACATGAGCAGGAAAATGTATGAACTGGGTGTCTCTGGCATTGAATCATTGTGTTGCAATCACATGATGTGTAAGTCTATAAACTCCAATATAATACTGGTATTTTACATCAAAATGTATATTGTTTAGTTATCAATCTAAACCAGACAATACTCATTTCTCTGTGATTTAATTTTAAAATCAAACCTTTTTTAAGAAATCCAAATATTGTGTGATAAATTTAAATATCAAAATTTGTAATAACTTTAAGTTAAAATCTTTAAAAATAAAAAAATATACTAGTGGAATCTTGAAATAATTCAGAGTAATATAATCTTTAAAAATCATTACTTTTTAAAGCAATTTAAAAGAATAACAGACATTAAATTCACATTTTAAAATTGTGAACAAAACTAATACAAAAAAATAATAATAAAGTGAATAAAAAATCTGAATATTTATATATATATATATATTATGAATTATATATATATATATATATATATATATATTATGAATTATATATATATATATATATATATATATTATGAATTATAAATATCAACTGGTTGAAATTGAATCTTTTTTAAGAAATAAAATAGTATAAATGTTTTGATTTATAAAAAAATCCAAAGATACTCTTTTTACAGTAGTATAATTTAGAAGGCTTTGATCAGATGCTTGAATTTAAACACTTTTTTTAGAAGTATTGAAATTTAGAGCTAATAATAAAATATAACTTGAAAATAAAATTAAAAAAAAAGAAAAAGAAAAAAAGAAGCATGATTTATACAAGTACCTACATGCATCTATGTTGAATTTAAATAATGTTCATGGATTCGCACTTGTAGATTACTAGAAGTAGAGATTGTGTTTTACCTAGGATTTGAAGTAATTATAATAGAAACAATAGAATATATATATATATATATTTATTATTTATCTTCCATATTAATTTAAAAAGAGTACAATAGAATTCACAAGTAGATTAAAATCATGTAATAGAAACTAAAATAAAATTAGATATGAAGAATGTGATTAAAAAAAGAACAAAAAAAAAAAAAACACACACACACACACACACATTTCTTCAAATCTCATTTTTTTAAGGAAATCTAATAATATATAATATTAAAAAAGAATGTAAGATTGTGGAAAGAAATAGTATTTATAAATATATTTATATATAAAAAGATAAGTAATTAGTATCATCTTACAAAGATTTCAGATATGAATGTATTTTTTTAGATTTATTTTTAATTTAACAAGAACTCTGTTTAAGAGTCATTGATGTCACATATAATTATTATACTTTATGATCACCTAAGTTAAGAGGTAGTTAAGATAGGCTATAAAATCAGTCTTTTTTAGATAGAATTTTTGCTAATGGTTTAGTGTTTACATTTTCCAAGAATTTTTGATAATTTAAAATTGTCTAACAAACTCCACGTTTATACATATTATTTAAAATAATTAATTATTTAAAAAAAATTTAAGAAATTTTAAATCCAATTGGAATAGACAAAATATTTGCAAGTTTATTTTTGGACAATTCAAATCAATGTTTATTTTCTTGTCAAAAGGTTTTCACATAAATATATAGTTTTCAAGCTATAGCTTTTATACTGGGCTTAAACTCTGAATAATAAGTTTAAGTATGGAATCAATTAATTCTAAACTTATTTTGATTATTAATAATAAAAAAACCTTCAAATTATAAAATACAAAAGTAGATAATATAAAAAAAATACTTATAGAATAATTTTAAAAAACTTATAGAATAATTTTAAAAAACTTATAGAATAATTTTAAATAGCAATATGGTATATCTAAAAAAATTTAAACATCCAATTGTCTTTAGAAAATTTTCTTGAAGTATTCAAAGAAGTTATTATTGTTCAACCATATTTCTACTTACATATGTTTATTTCTATGTATTTATATAATAGAGACATTTATTACAGACATCAAGATTATTTATACAAAAGATAGTGTCCTTAGTAAGTTATACAAATTTTGCACATTTTTATGTACTAAATGTCATATAAAATATCTTTAATTTTTTATTTTTTTTACAAATTCATTGGATGATACAAGATATAGTAAAATTATTCAAACATAATAAAAAAAAGACATATTTTTAATTACAAATAGATCCAAAAGAGACAATATACAAGATTTAGAAATATGTCAAAATAAACCAAAGTAAGTATGTATAGTTTCAATAATATATTTCTAAGTTTGATGTAAAAAATATTAAATTAACATAGATTACAAAAATAACAGAAGATTAAACTACTTATTATAACACTTTAATAACCTTCTAAAATATTTTTTCAAATTTATAAAAAAAATACTAGCTAAAATCAAAAAAATTATTAAATCTAGCTTGGATTTAAAAAAAATATAATATCAATCTTAATTTTACTTAGAACTTAAGCTAAAAGACAGATAATAATTAAAAAATAAGTATTATATATACACACACATATATATATATATATATATATATAAAAGCTACAAGTATACCTAATATTACTATGTGCACACTCAAAACACATGGAGGGTTGTAATTGGTAGGATGTTATAATGTGGATCTTGCCACCTAATATAAGTGTGAGGATAAGTAGGAGCGGCAGCCTCTCCTCTGGTGGTCCTACTAATTAATGAGCAGTTAGGTTTAAGGAACAATGCCCTTAAAAGAAAATTTTAATCTATCTGTGCTAAGAAGACAAGACCACTTGATCATTGAAGCACTAATTAGAATCAAAGCCTCATTAATCTGTACTATTTTAACACAAATAAATTCTTGCCACTATTTCTTTTTTTTGAATTTGTAGAAGAGGTTGTGGGTGATTCATCTAATTAGTATATTCTAAAAAACAGATTTTTAACAGAAGCTTCAAATTAGACTCTTGAAGCGAAGATGTTGGAGTTGTATATTAAAATCAGTTGATGTTGATTGCACTATTGCTTCCTAGGATAATATCCTATTAATTTTTGTCTCTTTCCATTTGCATTAGGATATAGAGTGTGGTGATAAGAATCCATAATCTATAGTTGACACCAATATTTGGGACCATTCAAGTTTCAGGTTTGTGAAAGTTTTCCATCTAAAACTCAACCTTCAACTTTGGCCTAAGCTTATGTGGTTTTTGAGGTAGTGGATCTTCTTAAAGGACTCTTAAAATAGATGATTTATAAAGATAAAGTCTGATAATTGAGTGGATCTTCAATCCAAGTATTCATATACGTATTAGAATCTTTTTTTAAATGTATTTATATTTATAAACCAATTTTAAACCATAATTTTTTTTAAAAAATCTTGAATTTTATTTACTTTGATATAAATGAATAGATATATGATATTCTGATTTGATTTGAGTTTTTTTTTTTTTTTTTTTTTTTTTTTTTTGTAATCACTAAATAAATTTCTTTCTTGAAAAAAAATGTATGAAAATATGAACAGAATCAAGCCCCTATGTTTTATTTTTTATTGTTTAAGAACCCCACACAAATTTATTACATTTGCTACTGAATTTCAAGTATCATCATTCAGATTTATCTACACACATATGTACATATCAATCTCCGATGATAAAATGAAGTCATTAACCAACAAATTCTAGAACTTGAAATAAGAAGTGGACAAACCTAAATGAGACGCCCAAAGAAGCCCATTATTTTTACTAAAAACATTCTTTTATGAAAAAATTACAAGTCTTTTTTTGCATTTAAAAACTAATAAATAAAAATCATGAATAATAAAAGTGGACGAAGCATGAAGAGTCATACATAATCAACAAAAAATCAATGAACAATCAATAAATAAATAACTTGAGAGAGAAGTTTGTTGACAAATGATGGTGTTGTTGGTCTTTTTTTCAATAGAGAAGGAGGGAGTTGGGATTTCTAGGGTTAGGGCAAGGAAGGCACCCCCTTCCACATGTACAACCAGCCCCGTTAGCAAGTGACTTAGTTACTTATTTAATTAATTAATCAATTAATTAGTTAGTTAGTTAGTTGAATGCAAAGCTGCACTTGGCCTTCTCCTCACAAAGGAGGACGTTTCTAAACCACATTAAATCTCGACACCCATGAAACGCAAATGAAACTGGTAAACACACTCCACAACAACAACAACTACAATGCTGCACCGCGATTCACTTTGCATAATATATAATCGAAAGATGTAGATATAGAAAGATATCTACGACGGAGTCCATATTGAACGAGTCCACAGCTTGATTAGCAGTGCCGACATATGT